ACACACCTTCACGTCTGCACGGGCATCGAGCCGCGTTTTATTGATGTATCTCTTCACTCATGTGGATGAAATGTATGGGAACGGATGACGTCGCGCGTGCACCCCCAGTGTGTGTGTGTGTGTGGGCGCGTGGAGCGAAGTGTCCGCGTGCGAGCTGAATCCAGTCTGCAGCTGGAGGAAGGATAACGTCGGTGGCTGGGAAATACAACTTCAGACACTGCTGGAAAACGTTAGTAATACCCGGGGAGGAGAGTTGTAAGTGGTCGTTTGTTCGCAGTGAGCTGGGAGGTGAGTTAAGACAGCTCCTCCACGCCGAAGCCTCCCCCCGAAAAAAGCCTCCCTTCCTGGATGTGAAGCCAATTAGGCAGCGACGGTTTCAACACCAGGACACCTGTGAGCCCACTGGACCTCCATTTCTGGTAAGTTTGTTCGGTTTATAACGATAGACAACTTGTGTCGAGTCTCGACTGTGCGGTGGCATTATATATCCGACATCCGTGTTTCCATGTCGGTCTCATGTCAGAGCCACAGACCTGGCTGCATCGTTATCAGGCTTTACATGGGAGTTTGGGCTAGCTAACAGTTCCGCCAAGCCTCATATCAACCCAGACAGGGAGGCTGCATCGCGAACCTTTGTGTGTGTGTGTGTGTGTGTGTGTGTGTGTGGGGTCGACTCTGCCAGCTGGCCACAGAGGAAGTATGAAGCGGGATGATAACGTTACTCGACACTTGTGATTCATATTCAACTGCTTTCTTTCGTTTTTTTAATCTTACATTCCCGATGTGTCTTTCCTCGTCCTACCCTGGTTGGAAGGGAGGCCACAACTGGACCACATTAGTCTGCGGTCACACCAGAACAACACGGTGGAAATGCAACATGACAGTGGTTCACACAGAAAGCATTAGTCCGTACAGCCTGAGAGCAGGGACAGCCGACCTCTGTGGGCTGGAGGAGGATGCTGCAGCAGCCCCGTGCATGCATGTCGCCGTGGGGTGTGGTTGGGAAGCCGGACAGGAAGCTGTCAGCAGTGTAAAGTGCTCCCTCCAGCAGCACCCTCTACCCTGTAATCTCCCATTTGACAGCTCATTACATAGCTGGCCACATCGCATTAAGCCATCCCGACCGTGTCGCTGGTCTACCAAAGCAGTCCTCTGCCGTGCATGTACTCTGTCCGTCCGCTGTGTTTACAGGCGGGGACTCTTGTCTGTCATAACAGCTCTGCTGGTGTATAGCAGGCGGCCCCAGAGCAAATGTGCTCCAGTGGACAGCCAACATGTGTTGCACACTCACTTGTGTTTGATCAGCCAGCTCGGGGCATGCTGCACAAACTATGATGCTGTGCTCATTTGTATGTGTTGTATTAGCTGGTGCCGAGGAAGGAATAGCTCTCGTGCAAGTACTGGAACAAAACTGTGGTTGTTATTGTGACAGGAAAGAAAGGCTCGCTGTCTATTTCTGATTATTCCATATTATTTTTTCCCCCTGACCTCAATCTGGTAGTGTACTCGGTGTTCGCTATAATGCTAATGAATGCTGACGTTCACCTGGACTCCTGTTTATGTCACCCCTCTTCCCCCCCCCTCACCCACTGCCTTCAGCCACCTTTCCCCTAACTTAATTCATCCCACTTATTCCTCATTCATAATCCTATCTCTACCTCCGTACCCCTGTCTTCGTCAGCGTAACGCTTTGACTAACATGCTGCCACCTGGATAATCCTTGTGGACTATACCCACATGTGAGTGCCTCTCTGATTGCTTCAGTCCCTTCATTATAACCCTCTCTGGAAGACACACCAGGGTAGTTCCTCCTGTCTTCTGAATAAAAAGAGCGGGACAGATGAGTAAATGTCTGTACTGTGTATTCATGTTTATGTTGTGCAAGCCAGAGGCAACCAGCTAGTGTAGGGAGAGAGAGGAAGAGAGAGCGAGAGAGGCAAGGTTAATCACATTACTGATAGCACTATCATGTCTTTCTGAGTTGGGAGCGGCTATTGCTGCTAGCATACACGAAAGGGCACCCATGCATGCAAAAGCATACAAGCACGTAGATGTACAGTGCATGCACAATCCAAAAACACACAAAGCGTCCCGCAACCAAATAGTGACATTACTATAGATCTGAACCCTGAACAGTAAAAGTAGCAATACCATAACTGAGTAGATGGAGTGTGTGTGTGTGTGAGTGTGTGTGTGTGACAGAGACACAGAGCAAAAGAGACTTTGTGTTTTCCTGTTTGGGTTGACTAGTCATTGGGGTCAGTAACTTGTAGTTTTTAGGTCATATGCTTCACTAGTGTTGCACTTTGCTGGGTTACTCAGCCGTTCAGCGGGGTCTTTACAGTGTCTTTGGACTATCACTAGACTGCTGAGTGTGCGTGTCTGCTGTGGAGGGATGTCTGGAGTGTGGCCAGACTTGTTCTGACAGTCTACACTCTGCCGATGCAGATATGGCTACAGTGAGAATGTATGTGTGTGTGGTGTCCACGTATAAGCACAGAGAAGCAAGGAGTCTTTGTTTGCGCTCCCATTTGCAGCTCTTTTATGGATTTACTGGGCCTGCATGTCTCACTGAAGTCTCGTTAATGTTTGACACTTTGCGAGTGTGTGTGGTCTGTCTAGCTCTGAGGAGGTCCATCTGTAAGTATGTGACAAGCTTGTGACCATTGCAAAGAAGTCTGTTTACATTTTGTACTTCACTTACAACCTGTAATGGCTCCTCTGCCAAAGTACAAAGCTATTATTATATATTTCTATATCACAGAAGTTTGATCACAAACAAGCCATGAAAACAATAAATGTGAAGCTTTTCTGAAACTATTTTTTGTAGCTCGTTTGGGACTATTGTAGTCCAAAGTCCATATCACAATTTGCATGTTAATCATGATTGTGCCGTCCCTCAGCAACACACTCATTTTATCAACTGCATATCTCTCTGCAGGCTTTGTTTTACAGATGTCCACCAAGGACCGGTTCATTGCACTAATGCTAATACTTATTCCACTTATGTTTTGAATTTTGAGGTGTGATAAATCAAGTAAGCACATAAAGGAAGTGAGTGGAGAGCAGAGGAAGAAGCAACTAGAGCTGAAACCATTAGTGGAAATATCGGGTAGGCAATCTAAGAAAAATTATTCAGCAACTATTTTGAGAATTGATTGATGGTTTAAGTGAGATGCCAAACAATTTGATGGTCTCAGGTTCTTCCTGTCTTAACTAATAGAAAGTCTTTGAGACAGTATGATGGGAATTTGTCACTATTGTCTGATGTTTTACAGAGCAAACAAGTGATTGATTAGACAGATTGCGATATGATTCATGATTAGTGGGAATGACTACTTTTGCATCATAACCTCATTGTATGGCTGTAAACTCTCAGAAAGACACAGAAAGGTATAAAGGTTTTAGGAACACTGCCACCACATGTACCTGAAATAGTAATCACAAACTTAATGGTTGTACTGCCAACGAGTAGGTGGACGGCTTTTTGTTTCAAATGATCAAACCAGCAAGTTACTTTAGGCACCTTATCACAGTCCATACAGCACAATTCACTATTCACTAAAAACAATATGACACTTTGTTCAGCCCTTTCTGAAAGGATCAAGATTTCAACAGCCAATGGTAGCTAGGTACCAACCTAAAGCCTCGATTATGCTATGCTTCTGCTAATGTTCTTATGTTGTACTGATGCTGACATAGCTTGTTGCCCACTTTTTTTGAGTTTATTTCTCAAGCAGCAGTACGCTTAATTGTGAAACTCCTCAGCAGTTGCAGAATTTCTTCATCACTTTTTTCTTGCAGTCAACATTATGTGATTTTAGCTCCGTTGTTTAATCCAATTGTGTCCGTACTACATTTACTGCATTTAAATAGACCTTGAATGTGCATTTTTGTTGTCTCTGTATTGATTTGATTTGAGTAACAGTGATTAAAAGAAATAATGTAATTACAAATATAGGATTATATCAACTATATGTGGGTGATAGAAACTTTTTGTTTAAACATCTAGGCCTTGTAGTGCAATATGTGTTGGGCATATACTGGGTATATAAGACGATGAGGTCAGGTAAGGTCAATGACTTGTGCAGGGTTTTGTTTGCATTAAAGGTGCTTGTTAGCTTCTCGGTGTCCCTGTAAAATGTTCCAGTTTCCCCTATAAAATTTCAGTTCTGGCTGCCAGCTTGGGAACACGTGGCTCCAGGAGGCATTGTGGGGAACTGTGTGCAGTTAAAGGCATATATATCATTAAACAAGAGGTTATCATCTACTAGACTAGTGACACTAGCTAGATAGACCCAAAATGTGTGAAGCCAAAATATGTATAAAAATGATTGACAAGCATCAAACCACTTAAGTTACCACTCTGTGTGTTACATCCAGATGTTCGTCGGAATAGCATCAACTCCTCCTTCCCCTATGAAGAACAACCAGTGAAACCGTCCCACATGGCTCTCAGCTATTTCAGCTGGTCTCTGATAATGGCACAGGCATGCATAAACATGTTTAAAACAGTGACACGGTGAAAAGAGTACAGGAGACTTTTTTTTTCTTGTAAATTGTGTGCTAAAAATTCCAGTACACATGGCTGTAGTCCAGTCTATTGGCCTCCTGTAGATACATCTATGCTGGTTACTAATGTGAATGGGTGCAGAGGCCTTTTGGTGCCTGTGTGAATATGTGTCCGCTGTATCTGTCGCTAGTTGTTCTGTTTAAGACTGTGTGCTTGTGTCAGTGCTCTCTGTGTGTGAATGATCGCTCTCTCCCCCTCTCTTTTCCTCTCTCTGTGAATGAGAGTGAGATCACTGACTGCTCGGCAACATCACCATGCCAGCAAGTGGGGGTGGAGGGATGAGCGAGGTTAGAGAATGTAACGGGGGGGATGAAGGCTGGTAGAGCTGGTTTTCCACTTTGCTCCTGCTCTTTCCTCTTCTGTGCCTCCGTCTCATAGGCTTAATCCTCCTCCATCCTTTCTCTCGTTCTTTCTCTCTCCCATTCCCACTGGTTCCCAACGTTTGGCTGTGCGTGCTGTGTAGAAATCCATGTGGAAGGAAGCGTTCTTGCCCTCCAGCATCGATGCATTTCTGTCTCTCAGTCAACCTCGTCTCAGAGATTGGACCAGATAACAAATGTGCAGCCTCTGTACGATGCAGTTTTCTGTTTATGCAAAATGTCTCTGTGTGTGTGTGTGTTTCAAATCCACTGTGAGACTCCTCCTTCCCATCATCATTTGCTATGAGAGGAATAGACTTTTTGAGAGCAAGGGTTGCCTTGGTAACTATTGCTGCCATCTGTGTATGTTGTATGAATGTTTGGTTGTGTGCATGTAGAAAAAGATGGAGGCCCGTGGTCTTAATGCTTCAGCTCCCTCATCGTTGCATTATTTATTTAATAGTTAGCAGAAAGACTGTAAGGTTACTGGGTTACAATTCATTCCCCGGAACAGATTAGAGGAGTCCACTTTCATCTCAGTGAAGGTGTGTTATTGTAGCAACGCATCCACAGAAAGATATGCCAAAAATACACCTGCTAACACAACGGTAGCCTGCCTCAGTGGGAAGAAAGGAGGAGTAGAGAGTAAACAATTCATTCATTTAAATCCTTTTGTGTCAGCCTTTGTTTGAGTCGTTCAGTTGGATGTCACCAGTAATTCCAGTTTAGCTGATGCACAATGATATCCTTACTGGTTTTATATTAACACTGAAACTACTACGAATAATCGAGTAGTTCATAGACAGAAAATGAATAAAGTCATGTAATGAGCCAAAGAATTCTCAGACTGATTATTTCCTGCTATTCTCTGTTTTATATTATGGCTCTTTAAACAGAAAAATAATGCTTTCCAGTATGTGCAGTGTGTTTAGAAAGACAAAGGGGGGAAAGGTCTTGCCATTGTTATTTCACTGATGGATAAAGCGGACGGATCAGATGGCAGCTGTTATCTTCATTCACCTGGTCCAAAGAGTCAAGACTTAATCAATCAGATATCTATTTGAAACCGTAATTTATTCCATGATGAGAAGGTGTGAAAAAAAAAAGAAAGCAATAGAAAGGATAGACAGATGAACACTGAATGAAGCAGAAGATTTCTAGTTCAAATTTTCCAAGGAGACTGCATTAGTACAAGCTGCCAGTGTTCACAGAATTTGTGATAAAGTGATAAAGGAGTTCTGATGTGTGATGATGAGTTCATTCTGCCGGGGTTAAGTGTCCTACAGTGATGCTAGGACTGCTCTTTATTCTTTACAGTCTGTGTGCAGGCCCAGAACAGATGACAGGATCTCTGGACAAAGAACTCATCAAAGTAAAGGATGAATTTATTAGTCTGCTGAAAGAGAGAAGTGTTGCAGGAGATGTGAGATTCCAGGGACCATAAGTGTGGTGGTCAGACCCGTTTTCATGCACTGTGGAGCTTTTAAGTACAGCCCAGGGACTGGAATAGGATGGTGATAAATGACCCAGGTGTATATGTTAGAGAGGCGAGGGCAACGGAGGAGAGTGTAAATGTTAGTCCTAAAAATAGTCTGCTTTCTCCAGGCCGTAGTGCGTCATGTGGCTTGGGCCCAGAGTATTGTGTAAAGTAGTGTGGTGTAACCCAGTTTTTAACACTGACTCACACTTTTCCATCTCCTCTTTTTCCTCTCTGTTTGTCTGTCTGTCTCTTTCAAATAGAAACCCTCGGCGACCTCCAGCAATGATGTAGACTTGACATCCACACGATGATGATGCTCGCAGGGAGGAGGAGCAGCGACTGACTCTCTCCTCCTTTTCGCCACACCTGGCGCTCTGTGTCCGTCCTGATTGGGTGGCCGGAGTGCTATGTCATCAACCACACCTTCTGCGGCCCTACCCTTTAAGAAGGGAAGGAAGCCGGAGAAATCAGAGGTGATGGCTGACTCGGTGCAGGCCACCAACGAGGAGCTGAGGAGCAAACTCATGGACATCCAGATTGAGCTGCAGCAGGAGCGGGGCAAGGTGAGGGGGGAGGAGGAAGACGAAGAAGAGTCTTTACCGTCACACTGAAGGCCGAGGAAGAAGAGGGTGCACAATTTTAAAGTCACAAAATGTAGTGCTTTACATGCACACTTGAAAAAAGTGATACTTCTACTGATTAAAGCTGTAATAATGGTGATTGCACTCAGTTGCACAAATGTGTACACCACTTGCCAATCAGCATTGTATTTATTCAGTGAGGCCTGCCCTTCTAAAGTCTTGGAAAACCTGTCCGGGTGGTTTGGCTCTCCTTGTATCTTCTGATTGACACAGACCACCCCTCTGTGCCGTTCTCTGCATCTGTCATGGCTGTCCCTAGAGAATACAGTCACAGTACTGGGATTCAGTTTTTTCTGGGGCAAGCCATGCTTAAAACATATGCCTTTGCCATTTGCAAAAAAAAACAAAAACATCTGCAAGATGCCAAGTGGAGCAGTGGGTGTAAGAATGTCAACAGCAGCGCATAAAGTATAATATTGACACAGTAAGGGTGGGACGAATATACGGATGCATCAGATGGAATTCACCTTTTCTTTTTAAAATATCATGATGAAATTCATTTAAGAAGACAAAGATATAGTGAAGTACAGGCAAGGAAAAATTGTTTTTGGTTCAACATTTTTTTTAAGCCAGTAGAGAAACCATAACTGTAGATTTAAGTGTCTACTGTTCTCTGTTGGGCAATAAAGCACCGCTCGATAGCTGTTCATCCGTTTTGTTTTAGACTGCCAACTCTTAGGCACGAACTTGCAAATAAAGTCATCCCTGTGCTGCACACAGTCTGGGGCAAATGGATAAATACACTGGCGGCCTGTGATATGTATGATCATGACTGGTTGATTGGATTCTTATGCAACAACAATGTGTCGCTCTCCCAGGCATGTAAGCTCCGTGAGCGGCTCCAGGAGCAGCGGCAGGCTCGGGAGCTTGAGCAGCACAAACACGCTGTAGCGATCACCGACCTGCGTGCCAAACTTCACGAAGAAAAGTTACGCGAGACAGCGGCCGTCCGTGAGGGCCTGGCGCGGCAGCATGAAGTTGAGCTGGCCCGGGCCATCAAGATCCGGGACGCTGAGGTGCAGAGGCTCCAGGGGCTTGTAAACGCGCTGAGGGATGGAGCTGCTGACAAGCTAAAAAATGCTCTTCTTGGAGAGGCTCGGGAGGAGGCCAGGAGAGCTTTTGATGGGGAGAGGCTAAAGCTACAGCAGGAGGTAGGTTGTAGCTTGTATATAGGTGACAGTAATGCAATATTAATTATGTCTCTATTATAGATTGTGGAAAAATATGGACATGTTAACTGTAAAATAAAGACAAACTGTTTTTTTTGGGGAAAGTTGGCATTTTGAAACCAGCGTGTGTGTGTGTGTGTGTGTGTGTGTTTGTGTGTGTGTGTTTGTGTATGCTGGGTCTTGATGTGGGTCTGTGTAAACCTTTTGTAAATTTGCTGCTGAAAAACAGGAAGCAGGGTGGAAAAGCCTGTTGCCAAGCTATTGTTCCATTGTAGCCTTTCCAGACAAACAGGGCATCTATCATTACAAATGTCTAATGGGATAGGACATGTGTTTAGAAATGAGTGTCACTCTCTTTGTTGCTTTTGGTTTTGTGTGTGTTAATATGAACGCGTGTGTGTGTGTGTGTGGGGGTTCTTTTAGATCCAGGAGCAGAAGACAGCCAGGAAGCAGGCTGAGGAAGCACTTGGGAATGCTCTGCAGGCTGATAAAGCCAAAGCAGCAGATCTCCGCACAGCTTACCAACAGCACCAGGATGAGGTGCACCGCATCAAACGGGACTGTGAGAGAGACATCCGCAGACTGGTGAGACCACATGCTGCTGGGAAGACATGGCCACTAGCTTAGTCTTTAGATAAAAGGCTAATACATTGTGTGATAGCTTGACAAAACCCAGCAGCTGTTATTTGTATAGCCCTTGTCTGTCCCAACCACATTTGAATATCACTCACACACCGACATCTGTTTTCCTGCTTCTGAAGTTCAGTTCCAGCTTAGGGTTTATCTCACTGACATGTGAAGGTTACAGGCTAATTGTTGCACTGTCCGACTTGGCCTGTCTCACAATGTAGTGCTTATCTGCAGGAATAAAATCTGTTTACCTGCTGCAGTCACTCATTAACCACATTACAATGAGCAGGGCTACAATAACAGGCATCATTCTTAATAAAGGAATGTTTGAGCAAGGAGACTTTATGATAGTTGGGATCAGAGTGGTAAAAGATTAAAAGTATGGCTGATTGGTGGAGAGCCGGCAGTTCAGGAAATACCAGTGTTAAAGAACAAAATACGGAGGGAAGTAGAAGTGGGAACATTTGTCAGAAGACATTGCATTAATGCAGAGCCAGAACAAAGCTTCATAAATTACTTACAGTGAAGCACATTTTTTTACAAGCTAAAACACTGTCACATCCTTTTTCTTGTTTCTGTTGTCGGCCAGCGGAGCATACAGATTGTTAGACTGAAGGTGTAGACAGTGTGAGGACTAAAGGTTGCATCACTCAAAGCCTAAAACAAAAGAACAATGTGTTTCATAAAACGTAAACCACATACTTACACATGGTGGTAAATCAAATAAAGCTCAATTTCTGAGTTTTATAAAAGCTTTTGGTATATTTTCCACAACATAATCTCAGAAATATCTGCACTACATATTATAATTTATTATGAACATTTTCAGTAATATTAATGTGGGCTTTAAGTAGGATTTAATGGAAAACTGTGTCTGACTCACTCACTCTTTCCACCACCCACCACCATATTCCTATCCATCCCTCTTCTAGATGGATGAGTTGAAGGCGAAGGACCGGGTGGTGTGTGCCCTGGAGAGGGAGCTGGGGCTGCAGGCCGGCTACACCCAGAAGCTTCAGCTTCAGAAGGAAGCCCTGGATGAGCAGCTGGGCCATGTACGAGAGGCAGAGAGACACAACCACGGCAGCCCCAAGAGAGAAGTGGTGCCTGGGCTGGGGGACAACCAAGACCTGCTCAACAACCAGGTAGACACACACAGACACAAAACCACATGTACATGGGCCTGAATGCATGAATGTAATAACACATATTTTTCTGGTATTTACTATCTTTTAAATTTGATAATGTTTGCACAAGGAATTCAGAACATTAGGTGGAGGTCCTTACTATGATTTGAAGTTTGAGAAAGCTTTTTGTTTCTCTGCATTAGCTGGAGGTACCCTGGATTTAAGAGAGAAAATCAAATTTAATTAAATCTCTGATTGAAACAGTTGAAACTTTAGACTTTAAGTGCATTATTTTTTTCTGAGTGACAAACATCTATGATATTGTAGGCGTACAACAATATTGTGTATCTGTGCATTAAATCACAGCTGCACATACAGCTCATTCATTCATGAGAAGAATGTTGATATACTGTGTATACTTCACATACCGCTTCACACTTTCACTGTGAAATGGCCTCTCATCCTTCATCACACCACCTCCTCTTTCCCATTCTCCTCCATTACCTGCCTGCCTGCCTGCATGTGCTCCCTTTTTTAGATTTTGTCTTCCTCGTCCTCTCCTCTCCCCTTTGTGCCACAGGAGGTCGAGGAGCGTGACTTGAGGAGGTTCCAGCTGAAGATTGCGGAGCTCCATTCGGTCATCAGGAAACTGGAGGACAGAAATGCACTGCTGGCCGATGAGAGAAATGAACTAGTGAGGAACACACATGCAGAAGTACATACATGTTGTGATTATCGGCATGCAAATACACACTCAGATATTTTTAGACTTATGATAAATACACACATAAAAAACATACATGCCCATGAGTGTATTAAAACATGTTATTTTCTAAGCCCTCCAGGCTTGATATTTCCTCTCCTCTTAAAACTGGAAAGTCTGTATCACTAGAAGGCAAGACTTAAGGTTACAGTGTTTCCGCTCCCTATTTCCTTCCTCTGTCCAGTTGAAGCGGGTGCGAGAGGCAGAGAGCCAGATGAAGCCCCTGTTTGAAAAGAACAAGCGGCTGTCCAAGAAGAATGATGACCTCCTGCAAACGCTGCAGCGCATGGAGGAGAAACTGAAGAACCTGAGCCGAGAGAACGCTGAGATGGTGAGATACACCCAGCGTATGTTTGACCTCAACTCTGTGGTTTCCCTCTTAAATATTAAAAAGTTCAAATACTAGAAGAAATCTGTAGAGGAAGAGGGATTGTGTTTCTGTACTTTGAGTGTCACTAAGAATTTCATCAAAAAGGAAGCGGAACCTCTACTGGCCATTTAAGGAAAACCTTGAAATAATTCTCCATACAACCATAATTTGGCCTCTCTCTCTGTCTCCCACCTTCAGAAGGAAAAAGCCTCCTCCTCTCGGCCCCCCTCACAGCAACAATCCATTCAGCCACCGCTGAGGCGGCCAAGCTCCCTGACAGACCTGAGCCACGCCCACGAGGAACAGGAAGTGGAGTTCCTCAAGCTGCAGGTTTCTGAGCAACGTGGCATCATTGATGAGCTCACGCAGGTCAGGGTTATACTCAAACCACCAGGGTCAGATGTTATATCTGGTCTTATTTGATTTTAATGCTTACATTTCGAAAATTAGTAACATTTTCTTTTCTTATGTGATATGTGATTTTGTTTTAAAATTATGACATATTTTGGTTTTGGTTTTTAGGTATTTACCTCACTGGATAGGTACAGACCTTATTTTACCCACTTTCTCAATTCATTTAGCAGAAAATGTATTATATCTTATAATATTGATATTTATCAATATTGTTATATGAAATTACATATGCATTATTAACAGGATTTCATCCATATCACCTACCCCTAAATGGGGGCAACACATTGTGAAAGCACTACCTTTTACTTCCTGCTCCTGTCTGCCTTTTGGATCCCTCTAGATTAGAGGATCACATTATATTTTTTAGAAGGGGCAGTGGATGGTGGAATGTATTATTGGTTTAGGGATGCACGTATGGATTTTTTTCAGCTGGGACAATGTAGTGAGTAAAAATGGATGATTTAATATTCCATAGCTTTGACCTAACCAAATCTAACTGACATCACTATTGTTAACTCTAGAGAGACAAAGAATAGTTCTGACTCTTCAAATGTTACATCAAAAAACTTCACAAACATACTTTGGCTTTCATAGAACGTAAAGCCTATGAAATGTGAAGCCTGTGCAGCTCACTGAGTCATGTCCAAATCTCCAGGCACAAAGTTTGAGATGCTGATCTCCTGTGTGTTTATCTTTAGGAACGTGACCGATTGGTGATGAGCAAAAAGACCAGGAGGAAACCTCTCAAACTGTCTAAAGTAAGTGCCCATGAGTGAAAACTCTGTTAGTCAGAAGTGTGTAACTAAGCAACTACTCTATCTGTGGTTGACTGATCCTTAAGCAATGTTTGCAATTGAGTGTGTGTGTCTCTGTGTATGTTTGTGTTTAATTGGGCTCAAGAGAGAATAATGACAGTATCCCTCACAGCTGGGAGCTTCATGCTGAGAATGTGCAACTCCTGCGTGAACCATTCACCCAGCAAGTGGAAATAATTTTTTCCCTTGTTTTATTTTATTTTATGTATTTAGTGTTCTTGCAGGAACATGAACCATTTTTTCTCAAAACACACAAGTCAAGTCTGTGTTTGCTTATCTTTGCTTCCTTGTGTGTAAATAAAGAGAGGAAAAGGGATATCTAATTGGATGAGGTGGCTGTGTCACAAAAAAATAATTGCTTCGATACGTGTGTGTGTTTGGGCTAATACATCAGGGGACATTTGAGAGTCTATGATGTTGCTAGGAGGAGGAGTTTTTAAATGCTTGTCAGATATTTTCTCCCACCTCTCCTGCTGGAACCAGTTTGTCACCTTAGTGAGGTGGATGAAAGTTGGGGACAGCAGCTTGGCTCTTGGACTTGCACCTGGAAATTTTCCTCTCTTTTTGGGGAATTTTGAGCTCGGAGACAAAAAAAAACAGAGGCTGGCCCTTCGTTTTTCTTGTAGGAGGTTTCATTGTAACCAGAAGCTTTTGTCTGACTGCTTTTCCAGTTTGTGTGGGAGTGCAACGGAAAGCAATTGTACTTTGTGGACATTACTGGAGGCCCGCAGAGCGCTATATAGATCAGCTAGTATAGTCCAAAATATGATAGATGTATTTTGGGGAGATTCTTTATAGTTTAGTGTTTTTATTCTAGAAGCAACATGACAGAGTATCTCCTCCTTATCCTCTACTTCTCTGCCTTCATTTGCCTCTGTGCCCTAGTCTGCCTCTACTTCTCTGGTTGCCAGGAGATGACTTATAAACATGATGGTAAGGACTCTGTGGAGTTGGGAAAAGTTAATAGCAAGAAAGAAGTAAACTAACGTTCAGCAACCCGATCTGGTTTACAGATTTATTTTACCGGAGATAAAACAGAATGGCAGTACCTGCTTTTGATGTTTTAGACAAAATGTTGTTGAATTAAGTTTTACTGTGCAGTTGTTAGAATTAGAAACAGACGTGTGATGGATTTAGGGTCTTTAATTAATTAAAATTCTTTAATCTGAAATCAGATGCGATATAATCTGGATTAATGTTGGATTTGTTGGCTTTATAGATTAGGTTTAGGATAATTTTTTATTAACAATGTGGATATTGTCTTTTCTCCTCTCTTTCTCTGCGCAGAGGCATGTTGTGGAGACATATTTTGGATTTGATGAGGAGTCGATAGACTCTGAGACCTCTTCACTGACCTCCTTTAACACTGACCTCACTGACCGCACGCCTGCAACTCCAGAGGAGGATTTGGAAGACGTAAGAAAATCCTTTATCTACATTGAGAAAGAAATAATTTAAACTACAAACTACATTTTGTAGTTCTAACAACTGAAAGATGTGCTGCAGAAATATTGAGATAACTGACAGGACAGAATAAGAAATGGGCTTAAAGATAAGTTACAAATAAGGTGTGTTTGACCCTGTCCCACTTGAGTATATCTTTTAATAACTTTTAATTTCTGCTTTTCTTAAATAAAGAGTGTTTCCCGTGAAGAATCAGAGCTTCGTTTTCGTCAGTTGACCAGAGAGTACCAGGCTCTCCAGCGGGCCTACGCCCTTCTTCAAGAGCAGACAGGGGGCTCTCTGGATGCTGAGAGGGAAGCCAGGGTTTGTATAATCAATTCAAATAACCTTTACCCTTTTTTCTTTACAACTTTGCAAAAAGGAAGTGAATATGCTTGCAGTTCTGCAGTAATACCATGTACAGTTAGGGTTAAAATAATAACAATTCGGTTGATGCCGGTACCAAGGTTATTTTTTGTTATTCTTTATTCACCCCTTTGTGCCAGGGAAACAAAAGAAATCTGCAAAGATAAGCATCTCTGCCATGTTGTTGCTCAGTCTATTTCTCTTACTATCCAAGATGTGAGACGTAGAGCACCTGCTCACTGTCTGTGCTGCTGCATGGAGCACGCTGGTGTTTGAGTGCAATTTGTGCCAGTGCTAGCAAACGCATGTGATTATTTTTGTAAATTCAAAATTGGAAATTGCCAACAAAACTTTTATCAAGCACAAAATTGATACAACAGATCAGATAAACATCGGCCACTGAAAGTGATGGATGCCCGCTTATTTGCAGATTACAGTCAGTCGTCAACGAGTATCGCCCGATATATCACTGCATCCCTTAAATTTCCAGAATCTGTTCTACTGTTGTCTAGCCAGTTTGGCACCCTGGTCCCTGATGGCTGATCTCCTCTCCCACAGACACGTGAGCAGCTGCAGATGGAGCTCAGCAGCTGCCAAGCCAAGATCGTCGACCTGGAGAAGGCCCTGGCCGAGAGGGGGCAGGTAACAAAGACAAGAGATGGTGACAGGAGCTCACTGGTCCTGCTCTCACTGGCCCTCCTGCATGTCTGTCTGGCTGCTCTGCTCCTGGGCTGGCGCTATGCCGACCAGGTCTGCCGCAGAATCCTGTGATGTCACTTCCTGCATGTGTGATGTCACAGTTCTGTGCCTGCATGCTCTGCCTCACCTTCTATCCTTCCTGTTGTTGGTTCTGTTCTTATTGGGCCTTTTCGGGGCGGTTGCGCCTGGAGAAAAGGCTCAGCTATGAATAGATTGATATATACGAGATCTTAATACAGTAATGTCACACCTTTTCTGAATATGATTTCAGTTGATTCATTGATTTTAGTTTAGTCAATATGTACATCATAAAACATTGTGGTCTGAGAACTAAGCCAGACCTATGCCAGTGTTGAAGAAAAGCCTTGGCTATTTTGTCAAAACTAAGTAGATTAAAAGAAATGCCGACATTAAAAACCTTAATTATTACCTAACTAAAACCATGAGGAACACTGAAATTATTATTATGAATTCATATCACTACAATCAGTTTCTTCATTTGTTGTAAAGTTTTTCCTTTGTCACTGCATATTGCCTGTTCCACTGTGGCTTGATCCAGCTCTGTTGTTTTAATTTGCTGCTCGGCTGTTTTCCACCTAAGATTGCCTTCTGTTCCTCTTGTTACTGTGAACTCCTGATGATTGTGAATGCAGCTCCTTTGCCTGTTATCTCAGGAGTGGTCTTCATTTCTCTTGATCAATAAACTACTACTGTCACTCTGTTCCAGTCTGTTTGTGTCTGTGGTACACCTGCATGTGTCGTCTGGAAATATAGTAGATGGTTTTGAGGTGGCTGATTGTGTTTCGGAAAACTTTTTTCATTGCACCCTCTCCTCTGGGATCCTTTCCTGTTCCTGGCAGTGTAATTTCTTGCTGATGTTCTGTTTGATTGTTATGGCAGGATTCAAAGTGGGTGGAGGAGAAGCAGTACTTGCTCAGGACCAACCAAGAACTTCATGAGAAGGTATATTGCATTAGACTATACTTACTTAGACATTTTCTGCTAAATCTTTTATTCTGCTGCAAAAAAAATGTTTTGTATTTAACAAAAAAACACAAAGAACATCAAATACAGTCTAGTCTTAAAAACTACTAATATTTTTATTTAATGAATATAAAATCTCATCAAGGCAAAGTAAGTTTATTAGTTCAGCACATTTCATAAAAAAGGCAATTCACTACTCTTCAGATTAAAAAGGGAAAATGATTTAACAAATTAAAATGCAAGTCTTTTAAAAAACATTGAAAAGGAAACGGAAACTGAAAATGTAAGTGCAAGGGCAGTACGCATGAGTGCTTACAGTTCAGTCAGAAGCATTATAAAACAGATGTTTTTATCTGGATTCAAAAGTAGTAAGGTGAAACAGGTTTTATATTTTCTGTAAGCTTGTTCCATCTCTGTAGAGCATAGTGATCAAAGTAAAAAGAAATATGAATTCAAGCAAGCATTCAGTGCCAGCTTTTGGTATTTGACAATTTTTCTTTTAACTGCGCTACACTTGATAAGTCTTGAAATTCAACCCGAGTGCCAACCCTCTGGTAATCTATGAACTTCTTCTATGATACGAGGCTAGCAAAGCACAACTAATAATATGAGTTGGCCATAATTTGTAGATAAAAGTTTAATTAAATTTGAACAGATTCAATGCTGTTATGAGATGGTTCATTTGTGATAATTCTTGCTATCTGAAATACCTTATTAAAACTACAAGACATTCATTATTTGGGGTACTCATAATGCACTGTTAAACCTGACCAACCATTTTTGTATGTGTGTCTGTAGATGTGTGCATTGCAGCAGGCGGAGTCGCGGCTGCAGGCCGAGGTTCAGGACGCTCGGGATCAGAATGAGCTGCTGGAATTCAGGGTGCTGGAACTGGAAGTAAGAGACTGCACCAACGTCAAACTGTCACCAGGAGGCGACAACAACAATCTCAGTTCCAGACGCAAGACCTACATACAGTGACTCACCAGACAGACAGATAGACAGGCATACATACACATGTTCATTTATACACACACTTGAGTCCTCCTCTGTATGCCTCTGTGTCTGCATGGCAGCTGTGTGCATAACCCCTCCTCTTAACTGGAATATTTTTTTAATGAAAGAATGTTGTGTTAAGATGAATATAATTTTTAATTAAATAAAAATGTATTTATGTTCAACATTTAATCCCACCTTGTTCATTTTGTCTCTCATTTCTGCATGCATGTCCTACATTTTGTTTACATTTGCCATTAGATGTCCATGGATAATTATGGAAAGATTAGCAGTATAATGTATTTGGGGGATTTAAGTATTAAATATGGTATGTATTTTTTCTTTAAAATAAAAGTTAGAAATATAGATATACCAAAAGAAGTATGGTTATTGACCTAGATGTTTAAAGTCATAAAACATTTGAAATATATAATTCATCACCCATCACATCTATTTATCTGGCAGTTGTATCTCAATGTTGATCTAGTACCATCTGTTTCAGATCACATTCTCAGTTTTGAGTTTCAGCATGTGTTTTCAAATTCCCTATTGGTTTGTTTTTGCGTGGTTTGGTTTGGTTTTCCATTTAAATCTATGGGTTCCCACCTCCCTCATTTTGGCAGATCCTGATCATGTTTTCATGTAAGTAAATCCCTCATTCACTCCCTTTTCACTTTCATTTACATTTACATTCTGTGTTTCACAGTGCACCACTACCAATGTTATGATAAACTCTTACATGACTTGTAGAAATGAGATGTGTTTGGGTGTGTGAGTATTAACATGGTGTGTACTTTCTGTAGGAGAGGGAACGCAAATCGCCTGCCCTCAATCTGCACATGTCTGCGTTCCCTGAGAACAGCAGCAGTGCCCTGCAGATCTACTGCCACCAGGAGGGAGTCAAGGTGATAACACACATCCTTAATATACATATCCATAACCAGACTATTTTCCTGCATGCAGTCAATGTGATGTCTGATGGTTGTCATGTCTGTGCAGGATGTAATTATTCCTGAGCTGATGAAGAAACTGGATATCCTGGGGGATAATGGGGTGAGTTAAAACACACTGTTATGATAAAATAACATTGGTTATTCTTGTAATTTCTGATAACTCTGTTGTTTTTTCTGTAGAATCTCAGAAATGAGGAGCAGGTAGCGGTGATCCAAGCAGGGACGGTGATCTCACTGTGTGAAAAGGTAGGTGAAAGGCCTCTCTGACATGTTGTGTTTTTACTGACACACAGTGGACGCTTGTTGCCATAACACTTTATTTATTCCAAACAGAGCCTCTACATTTGAGTTATTTTTGTTAAGTTGAATATGGATGCAAATAATAATAGTTTTTTTCAGCCTCTGAGAAAGCATTAATGCCTTGCCTTTTGTCCTAATCCTCCCTGTACAGTGGTTGAAGCAGATCGATAGCACAGAGGTTGCCCTCACACAGAAGATGATTGACCTGGAAAATGACAAGGTGAAAAATCAATTTATCATTAGAAAACAACATTTTCAAATGTTTTGACAGATCAGATCCAAATACACTTGACTTTTCACTGTTATATGCACAAAACAAGCTATTTATCTGTTTATTTTTTTGCTATTCTAATCACAAAAAGTCCACCCCAGATGTCAAATGTACCACTTATAGTTTTCCTGACTCTACAGAATATTCTGTACTTTACCATTCAGTTGTGATACCATGTCTTGTGTTATATATTATTAAATCTTGTTGCAGGAGCTGTTCAGTAAACAGAAGGGATTCCTTGAGGAAGAGTTGGACTACAGGAAGCAGGCCTTGGACCAGGCCTACATGGTACGGAGCCTGGAGCAGTATGACCTGTCTCTTTATACAAAAGTTGTCCAAAGCCTCTCGAATAGACAAAACACACTCATTTATATTAATTACACCATTAACTAAGGTTGTGTATAAAGCATTATGGTTCATGATAAAGTGATTCAGGAATGCAAGGGTGCAACCTCATCATTCCAGCATGACACATAAACATTTGGAACCCCATTAAACATCACGAACATGCTCCATGAAGGTAAAATTTGTCACATTGTGTTGGGATACTGCATCTTTTACCACTGAAGTCTAAATTCTGTGAACAATCTGAGCCACTGAATTGGCTGGGGGTATTTGGCTTTTTGTTTATTGGCCCAATGTTCTTTATCTTCTGAGGATGCCAATCGCTGATTCACTCCCTCTTAAATTGTAGAAAATATGAAGATATAATGCCTTTATGAATAGCCTGTGTAACTTGGTTCAAGTGGACAGAACTAGTGAAGTTGAGAAGAATTAATAAGATTTTAATGTTAGATTTTGTTAGCATGAATGATCTTAATCCCCTCCCACTGACTTAAATAGGCTATAGTTAACACTTAAGTCACTTTCCATATAATCCTAACCATTTGATTTGGTCACTTTTGGTGTTGGTTTGTGTTTATGGTCCCACTTTATATTGTGTTGGTGACAGCTTGGTTATTACATGGTAACCTTGCCAGAACAGTCAGGCAACTGTGGAATTATTCTGTAGTATGTAGTTTATTCTGAGAATAAAAACACGGTTTGTGTTGTTAATATAATGACGTTACCATGTAAAGGTCAAGCCTAAATAACCCCCAATATATAGTGGAACAGTGTTCCCCATATCTGCCATGGTCACAGTAGTGTGTGTATGTATGTGTGTTTGTGTGTGTGTGTGTGTGTGTGTTTGCGTGCATATGTGTATCCGTTTGTGTGCGTGCCTCCATGTGTGTGTTTGTGCATGCCTGCGTGTGTTTCTGCATGTGCATGTGCACGTCCGTGTGTGTGTCTGTGTGTTTGTGTACCTGTATGTGTGTATGTGTGTGTATGTGGCTGGCTGTGCAGAGGATCGAGGAGCTGGAGGCCACGCTGTATAGCGCTCTGCAGCAGGAGCAGCCGTCATGCCAGGCGGTGGCCGAGTCGCTGACAGACAGGCAGAGGGAGGAGCTGAGGCTAGCCGTGGACAAGCTGCGGCGTCAGATTCTCCGGCAGAGCCGGCAGTTTGACAGTCAGATCTTACATGAGCGAATGGAGCTTCTACAGCAGGCCCAGCAGGTAAGGCTTAAAACAAATGTAGTCAGGTTACTGAATCCTGCCCTCCCTCAACCTGAGCCCTGGTCTCTGTCTGATACGTCTGACCCCACCAGACCTCTGGTGCTAAGAAAAAGATGCAGTATCCCTGTGTGTGCAACCTGTAACTCTAACTGTAAGTGCATATGTAGAAGTGAAAGAGTAATAGATGAGACAAAATGACTTGGCTGTGTGTGTGTGAGAGTGTGTATGTCATTGTGATCTGAATACCCCCCACTCCTTCAGTATCCCTCCACTCCGCAGCCCTCACAGTAGATTTACACCCATGGCTTGTTCAGTATATGTTCATTGAGTACATCAACAACCACGGCACCCTTAACTTCATTTGTACTCCAACTTACTAGCATGGTTTTCCTAATCTCTAACAATAGAACACTTAAAACACATTTTTAATCAACTACTCATGAAATATACTAACTAATTAAATGCATTTACGCAGTTTAGTTTTTGTAGTCTCACTTAAAAGTCCAATATTTTTTTCCCCTATAGTTGGGCTTTAGTTTACACACTTTCTCAGTCCCATGGCTGACTCAATGGTCTAGTAACTGAGACTCAGTAGTAATATTTACCTTAATTAATGATTAAGCTGTGTTTGTTTAAAGGATTTAAAGTTAGCTCCACTGAAAATAATTTGAAACAGATTATATTAAATAAAAACACCCATCTTTAATTTTAGAATTCCATGTCTGTCCAAGTGTATTTGCCAATAAATTTGAATCATCCTTTTTAAAACTATGAATATACTTTAAGATACTGCAGCTAGATTTTTTTTTCTTTGCAAACAAGAACACTAATACATTATTCCAGAGTCAATGTATAAATTGCTCAGATTTAAAGTTTTAAAGATGGACTAACTTTCACTGTTCACTGTTAAATCAGCTCTTTAGTTGCCATGGCAGCTTATTCTTACCCAACACAGCTACCATGGAGACAGAGGGCATGGGAAGCAGGCAGGGTATTTGGAGTATATAGAAATAGTTGAGTGACAGTCTTAATAACTGTTTAACAACTGTTTTCAAATGTAGATGATTGCATAAGATCTGGCCAAATGGTCTTAGTTTTATATTTGAACATATTTTACCAGCTAACCACATCTGTCTTTGCCTTGCAGAGAATTAGAGAGCTGGAGGACAGGATTGACTTGCAAAAGAGACAAATAAAGGAAATAGAGGAAAAGGTACATTCAAGTCTTCATTTGTTTCTTTCTAATAAAGCTTTCTGTTATGGCTGGTAGAGGATGTGCATACTGCAAAGATTAACAAGAGATAATGTGGGGGGCGGTTACATCTACTATACTCATGCTCTGTGTTATTTTATTAATTTCTTGACGCTCTTTTTCTTCTCTCCCTTTTCTCACCCGTTTATTAAACCCCTTGTGTTCCTTTAGTTTTTGTTCCTCTTTTTGTTTTTCTCTTTAGCATTTATTCTTTGGCCTTAATGAAAGTGACCGTGGACCCACATCAGGTAGCACATTTATCCACCGTGTCATTTTAGTTCTTAACACACTTACAGTAACAACAAACAAGAAAAGAATTTAAAAATGTTTCCTTTTTCTCAGGTTTTAAGGTGCTGTGGAGGCAAGTGAGGACGAAACAAACCTAATTGTTTTTTTATGCATTTATAGACAGCTCACAAAAACCATATGGCCTTTTTGATAAATGTGCACTTTTGCAGAAGACCCTTACCTGGAATGCAAACATATTCAAAAATGTAATAAATAATCAGATATACGTGAGATTAAAGTGAGATTTATTTAAATAACATTTACTATATTGGTTCTTGGACCTGGAACATGAAACTTTAACTCCTCTGTGAGAAGCAAACACTTGGATTTACTGAGAGAAAACTCTGAATCAGAGGATTTATTAACGGGAGAAGAGCCTCAGCTGAAGGAATGCCCAGTCGGACAATGAGAGAGGAGAAGAGGAGTGAAAGTACAGTGCTGAGTGAGGGGGTGAACAAGCTGAGTGCCAACTGGATATGGAGGATTCTGGCAAAGTCTAACGTCTGTGGCGTTTCCAAGGAAACAGGGCAACTAAGTTCACAGAACAGAAGCTCAACTTACTGAAAGCTCGTCGATGTATTGAGAAGATGAAACTACAGTCAATGGAGTGCAAAAACCAGGTTATTATTTAAGTTTACCTTTGAGAATTTACTCTTTTGTACATTTATTAATACAACAGCTAATTTAAGTTCACGTGAGTGTTAAGAAATAATACTTCTCAAGATCAGTTATATAAGATAAGTGATGTATTCTTACCTGTATTTAGTTATGCATCAACCAAACATGCTTGCTAGCTTACTTATTAAGCTGACCTCAAAGGAAAGGGCCAATTGTTTAATGTTTGTTTAACAACATGAGAAATTTATTACATCAACCAAAAAAAGGTTTTAGTACATATGCATGCACATGAGAATTGCTTTAAGACTGACTTGGGAAAAAAAAGGTGAACCTCTCCTTTTAAGTTTTCGGGATTTAATGATTTGTGAAATGTGGTGGGAGGTGCAGGAGAGCGGACAGGATGATTAAGAGGCGGAGTAACCTGAGAGACATTTGTGCCCAACAACTTGCTACCAAGCTGTTGACATGGTGAATAATAGATGACTGTATCTTGTGCGCATGTTACTTTTTCTGTGTCTGTGTTTATTTTTGCCATGTCTATGTGTTTATGATGTAGGTAAGAACAGTTTCCCCTTTTTTTTCCCCCAAACTGAGTCGGACACCGTCAGTTCCCGTGCCAGGTAGAACTCTAGTGGGCTCAGGCTAACCAATGAAGGATCACATGACTTCATCAGATCCGACAGGTACCGGAAGCAGTTCTGTTACCATGGTAACAGACTCAATGGGGACTCTAGACCTGGACCTGCGGGTCCTGTGTAACAGAGTGAAGGTCCTGGAGCAGAATGAGGTTTCAGCCGTCCAGTCTGACAGCTACCTGAGGAACAGGTGAGAGACTGGGGAGAGGGGATCCAGTGACAACCACACAC